GCAGGTAGTGGCTTGCGGGGGAGTCAATGGTAGTTGTCTGGGGCCATTTATTAGTTACAGGACCTTAGGTTAATTGTTTAATCTCTCTGAACATCAGTTTCCTCCTTAATGAAAATGTAATAATAATGCCTGTCTCTATGGGTTATCAAATGGATTAAATGAGATCACATATATATAAAACATCTGTCACAGTGCCTGGAAAAGTGAGGGCCCGATGATGTAAAACCCTTTTCCTCGTTTTCCTTCCATGGAGCCTGTATATATCACAGTCCAGTCAAGACAGAGACGAATGTAAAGCTTGGTAATTAAGTTAAAAACTCAGTTGTACAATTATGGAATAGGTGAGAAATACCTCACCATTACATAACTGGGTACTGTGGCTACCATAACAATGAATACAGTTTTAATTTCAATTAATAAAAATATGAATTGATTACAAAAATATCTGATTACAAAAAGGATGAATCAACTCATCTTCCATACTAGTCAAACCCTACTTGGGGTCTTGTAAAAAATTTGGGGAATGTTAGTAAGTGAAATACATTCACAGAAGAATGACAAGGTAGGGAAGAGTTTGGGGACCAGGTCATGTGTAAAATGTATTGGAAATGTTTAGCATGCGGGAAAATAACAAACAAACAAAAAACCCCTGAAAACTGTATAACTAGTTGAAGAGCTATGTTTGAAAGAAAGACAAGTCTCCCACCATGTTGGTATAGAGCCGGGTCACCTTGGACTGTTGGTAGAGATTGTAGAGATAAGACTTTTGCACAGTTAAAGCTCTCCTGGACAGGCACCTGGGTAGCTCAGTTGATTGGGCTGCTGACTCTTGATTTTGGCTCAGGTCATGATCTCAGGGTAATGGGATCAAGGCTTGCATCAGGTTCTGTGCTCAGTGAGGAGTCTGCTTGAGATTCTCCCTCTCCCTCTGCCCCTTCCCCCATGCTATCTCTCTCTCTCTCTTAAAGAAAGGAAGAAAGAAAGAAAGAAAGATAGGTAGGTAGATCTCCAGGACAGGGAAAGTGAGTTCTCAATCAATGTAAGCATTCTAGAAGAGATTGAAGATAGTTCAATGGCCGAGATATTGCATAAAGAATTTTTATAATGAGAACACAACCAGACTAAAACACCTCCCATTTCTGATTCCATAAACCTGTGGGGTACATTGAGCAAGTTTCTAGAGATCAAGAGACCCTCTTATATTTCAGGGACTGGGTCATTCCCCTGAGGCCTCTGGAAAAAAAGAGAATTAATTGTGTGATACACATGAATGTGTGGTTCGTCAAGAGGTAGAGAGACTAAGAGTGTTATTGTAGGGGACCAGGAAGGAACGACTAAGGTAAAAACGGGGCGGGGGTCACTTTTATGTAAATTGGGTCAGAGTAAATTCACATCACTGAAAAATGGGTGGAGATTAGGAGAGAAAGAGGTCGGAAAGTTTTCACCAAGTTCATTCCCAGATCCATCAACTACCCAGTCCATCTGCATCCAAGACTAGACTGCCATCTTCTTTTGCCTGGATGGTGAGCCTCCCAACTGGCCCTAATCAGTTGTATTTTTTTCCATCACATGTGAACAAGAGAATACCCAAGTACGATTGGTTTCTGCATGCCTTCCTTTATTACTGTAAATTGTAAGCCCCCCGAGGACAGGGACCGCATCTGTCCTTGTCCACTGCTGAGTCCTGCCCCACAGGAGATGTGTTGCAAAGGTTTGTGGGGACAATGAGGAATAGACATCATCCTCAAGTGGCATATGATGACATAGTATCATGGTAATTGGATTAAATTCAGTATAAAATTTCGAAATTTCAAGGGATGTGTCTAGCAGCAGCTTCGAAGTAATGTACATATTACCTTGAATTTTGCCTGGTTATTTGGAATACATCTGAATCTGACATTGCCGGCCCCATGTCGTATTTGGTCTGAAATAATTCTTCAGGTATACAGAGTCAAAGAAGTCTGGTCTGTGAATGACGGCAAAGGGATAACCCAGCAAACTTTTGTTGGCTCCAAGAGTCCACAGAACAAGCTAAGAAAATGCAAAAAAGAGGTGATGTCAGATAGGAAAAAAATAGAAATGAGTCAGAAGTGCCAAGTGAAGGAACTAGGAAGGACAGATAATTAGCAGTCTCGCGTGATTTACTTCATTTAACCTCTATGATGCCCGTGAAATAATCTCATTTGAGACATGAAAATCACTTACGTCTCAGAGGGCTAAGAAAACGGTTTAAGGTCTCGTGCTAGAGTGTAATGGCATGGATTCCCAGCGATGTGTCCTCTGACACTGCCACTGAGTCCACGTTGCCGTCCCATAAGCAGACCATGTGCCAGGCACGGGTGGGAATAGAAATAAAATGATCTACCTTGTATCCACTGATGTCATGGTTTGCCATCCAACAGCTCTGGTCTTGGGCAGACCCAGGTTTTGTGGGGCCAGGATCTTGTATAGTTCTGTGGCAGGGGGCACCCTTTTGGAAAAAAAGGATATACATTTTTATTTTTAAAGATTTTATTATTTATTTGAGAGAGAGAGGAAGAGAGCACAAAAGGGTGTAGGGAGAAGGAGGAGGGAGAAGCAGTCTCCCCGTTGAGCAGGGAGCCTGATGTAGGACTCGATCTCAGGACTCTGGGATCATGATCTGAGCCAAAGGCAGATGCCTAACCAACTGAGCCACTCAGGCGCCCCATATATGTGTTTTTAAAGTATTAGATTTAAGTACAGGGCCTTCCAAGGAGTCTGGGCAAGTGACCAGGCCGGAGGCTCCCACTTTATTGAGCATCCGTGGTGAATCTCTCTCTGCTATAATGCTCGTTCATCAATTAAGTTAATTTGCAAAGTGTCTCAGCAGGGCCTCAGAAAAGTTCAGTGTAGAAATCAGGGGAAAGAAGGGGTAGGCTGGAGTTCAGGGGGGAAATTCAAACACACAGCTCAAGATAACCCATAAGCACCATTTCCGTAATAGCCCAAAGGACAGATTCTAAGTGAGGTTTTTATTCCCTTATGTTTATTCCCCTCCCTTTTTTTAAAGCCTTTTTTTAGATAGGTTGTTTTTTTTTTTCATATATAAACAGGTTTTATTTTGAATACAAATAAACAAAATAACCGTGGATCTAATTATGAGCTTTTTCGGTTCAGGAGGACTCTTTCCTAGGTTTTGAATAAACGTCTTGTTGTCAGGGTGATAAGCTCTGCATTTCTAGATTTAGAATAAAAATTCCTCTAAAATATTTTGTAATCTGGTGGTGCTGGGCTTTGCCTCGATCTGGAGCACGTGGGTGGGTGGGACTCAGAGGAATTCTCTGGCTCCATTGTCACTTGTGTTTTCCTCTGTATCAGAACCAGCCTGTGAACACTCCGTTTACTGTTTACCTCTTATAACGGTGCAGTCGGAGTCCTTTGTGGACCAGAAGATTCGGATGCAGTCCGTTGCCAGACTGCTTCTTGCTAAAAACCGCTCTACTAGCAAGCCTGTTACAAGAGGAGAGATTATAAATGTTCTTAACAAAAGGGGAAACCAAGGCATAGGAAAGTAAGCCACTTGCCCTCCCCAATTAAACCCAAACGGAGCCTTGTGGCTCTTGAAGGTCTGTGGAAGGTCACACACGGAGGAAAAGAGCACCTTTCTAGGAGAAGAGAAAACAATCTTGCAAACATTATGGATTTGGTAGGGGAAGCGGTGGTCGGGACTGGGTGGTACGTGTTGGGTTTAAAAGATAAGGGGATTTGGGGGAACGAGCGTGGATAAAAATTGGTGAACACCACAGATGCTTTAAAAAGGACTTTGAGAGTGTTGGCAGGGGGATAAACAATAGAGATTTTATAAGAATGGAGGCTAGACTCTGAGCCTAAGCCAACGGGCACTGTGGCACAAGCCAGCAACAGAATGTGACATCTGGGAGTAGGGGTGGGCAGGGGGAGATGAGCACAGCGCCCCGCAGATCCCAGGCCTTCAGTCGCTGTTGAAGGAATTTGCAAAGGAGACCGAGCACTAATGTTGTCTCGATTTGATAACTACCATTTTCCTGGTTGCCATGATCCTGGTGTGGGACCCAAGCCAGGAATCCAGAAAAGCCAAAACAGACAATGTGGCGTAATACCGGAGAGTCTGGATGCCGGTGAGGACTGTCAGGGACAGGGGCCCTGAAGTCAAACCAGCCTGAGATGACAAGAGACTTGCCTCCTTTAGAGACACTTCCCCAATCAGCCAGGGTGTCTGTGGGGGCTGGGGGGGGGGGTTGGCTCTGTGTGGGGGTGGGAGGGAAGGAGTGATTTCATCTGTTTAATGAAAAATGACCTGGACGTTTCTCTGATCCTGGAAACTCCCATCTCACCCAGGCCAAGAAAAACAGGATTAGGTCTTATTACTTCTACCACGGCTTTGCAACTTCTCAGAATGAGTTAACTGGGAGGGAACAGCAAAATAAGGTAATTGCCTTCCATTGTCCCTGCAGATAGACCAGGGAGGCTCTGAATCACATATAATAGGTTAATAGAACAGGCTTCCCTCTGGTCCTCTTTGAAAACTTCTCTTTTGGCTTCTTCTGCCTTCTAAATGGACACCCCTTGTTGGTATGTGATCATGAAAATATAGGAAGTTTGCTCAATTGAATTGAGACAGGCAAGTCACCCCTCTGGCGTTCTACTGACAAGCTACTGATTTCAGGTCTAATATTCCGCTCTGAGTTCCAGAGGGAAATAGCTTTTGCCCCGAAGCGTGAGGCTGTTAATATCACAACAAACATTTTGCCCAAGAGAGGAACCACTGACAGGGAACGGTCTAGGTGACCTAACAGGGTGACGCTTTCCAAGACTTTTCCTTGTAGATTTTTGGGGACGCAGTCTTTTCGTCACTGCCAATTTTGGGATAGTCAAAAGTGCAACATCAACAACGAGACCATCACAGTGATCAGTGTGTAACAATCGTTTTTGTGCCTCAGTTCTTCCAATCATCCTTTGAAGGGGAGAGTGAGGTGAATAAGTCAGTCCACAGGGCTGCCTTCCTTTTAATGCAATGTATATTTATTGTAAACAATAATATACAAAAAAAAAAAAGAAAAAAGGAAAAGATGAGTTTCACAGAGGGAACAAAAGGTTTGGGGGAGGGAAACAAACAAAACACAAACACAAACCAAACCTTACCTAAGGACAAAATATGATTTAAATGCCAGGTTTCTTAAGTTACAGAAATATTTTTTTTAAAGATCTGCTTTTATACAGAAATTGAAAGATGCCATATTATAAGAGTGCTTTAAGATTTTATTCTACTGATTTCTAAAACTGTTAATATATCTTTTTTTAAATAAAAAAAAAAAGTTTGCTGTCTTTTTTAAAAAGCAATCCTCGAACTCTCCAGCCACAGAAGGAATTAAGAATTCAGGTCTCTCGTTGGGCTTATCCCCTCCACCTTTCCTCCTTGTCTCCAAGAGAACATGCAGGGGACTATCTATGACACATGCCAGCCTTGTTTTGTGTCAACACACACACACACACACACACACACACACACACATACACACACACACTTTAGGCAGCCCAAAGATCTGTGGCAGAAAAACACTGAAAAGGACTCAGTGATACACTACATTTGCAACCTCTCATTTATACAAAAAGAAAAACAAGTTTCCAGTTTGTTTTCAACAAAACAACAAAGAAAAAAAAAGGACAGACAAAAAGGCATGTATATTATACAAATCTAGGACAAGAAATCCAAAGAAACTTGCTTTTAATAATAATAAAAAAGATTAAAGAGATAAATAAAAAAAAACTGGTTACAGTTAAGAACATAATTTAACAGATGACCATACCCTTTGAGGAAGGCTCCAACAACCTATTTTAAAGAAGGTAAAATTTCAAAAAATTTTTTAAAAAGAGAAAGATTTTTTTTTTTTTTAACGAAAACCTCTCCTTACTAAATAAATAATTTTAGCACGTGGAATGTCTTGAAGGTTCACTGCTGGTGTTGGGAGAGGCACAGGTGACAGCTTAAGGGAGAAGGCTCTAGCATCTGTGTCCCACATGGGGCTCGAGCAGGCAACCAGGGGGCAGTGTGCTGGGGCACTTACTGGCTGCTGAAACATTCCCAGAACAGATTTCATCTCCTTTGCTTGGTTTTCACTTTTTTAAGATTGCAGCAAACAAGCAAATGCGGAAGGAAATGCACTAACAGAGAGTACAAGTATTTTCCAGCAGCACGGTTTTAAGGCTCAAGGTATTTTCTCTTGTTTAAAAAATATATATATGATAAAGCTTACCAAATGCTTCTCTAGACTACGGTTTACTTCCCTATTTGCAAAATAAGGCCTTTATTTTCCTTTCTAAGGCAGCTCCTCCTTGAATCAGAAAGCCTGAGGAATTAAGCAAAGCTAACCCCCCAAGCTGATCACGTAACACAAATTCGCGTTTTTTTTTATGTTAATACAACACACACACTTTTTTTTTGTTTTTTGTTTTTTGTTTTTTTTGTTTTTTTTTTGTAAGAGAAAGCTCATCTGTACAAAAATATTCTGGTTGCAGGAAAAGCTAGCGCACACTGTTCAACTAAGTAGTTTAGCTGTTGGAAAAATAAGAGCATTTAATTTCTTTATCTAAAAATATGTATAAATCCCCTCAAAATGGTAATGAATCATACACAGTACATACTAAAAATATTTAAAATAGAGAATATTCCTCACAGAGGACTTTTTTCTTTAATTACTGCTAAAAAATAATTACAAAGTCCAAACAGGCAGAGAGATTGAGCAAACTGGTGACACGACGATTCTCCATTATCCTCCATGCTTGCTTTCAAGACCGTTTTCAAGTTCGGGTCCTCCTGGATTCCGCCGGGTCCATCTGGCCACGAGGGTGGCCTGGCCACTTGCTTTGCAACAAGGTGGGAACGTGTTCGGACAGCTGATGTTTCCGTCTGGGAATCTGGGTACGAGTTGCCTTTAGCGTAAATGTCTTTAAGGAATAGGAAAAAAAAATGTCCCAAGGAAATTGTGGCGGGTTCTTGCTTGCTTCGGTGCTCTTTTCCTAAAGGATCATCACACGCGGGCCTCCTCAGGGTCTGGTGAGCTGTGTGTAGACCGGCTGTTCCCAGTGCTGGGGGCTGTGGGTCTGCGGGATGGAGGGGACCCCGGAGGTGTCGGCGATGGGGGTGTACATGGGCCGCTGCGCGGGGTTCATGTAGGTGAAGGTCGAGTAGAGGCCCGAGCCCTGGCCGGCCGCGTGGCTGTAGTAGGAGCCGGAGTTCTGGTGGTCTGCGTAGTCGTACTGCGAGCGGGTGATGGGCGGGTACGAGGGGCTGTAGTGCGGGAGGCTGAAGGGGCTGTAGGCGATCTGCTGCGGCGAGTGCTGCTGCTGCTCGCTGTAGTGGCTGGGACTCAGCTGCTCCGTCTTGATGTGCGTTCGCTGCGACTGGCCCGGCTCGCTGCTCAGCGGGGTCAGCGTGTGCGCGGGCTGCGGGGGCGCCGGCTGCGGGGGCGGGGGCGCCGGCTGCGGGGGAGCCGGCGGGGCCTGCTGGGCCTGCGGGGGCTGCTGCGGCGGGGGCGGCGGCGGCGGCGGCGCCTGTTGCTTGGACATCCACACGTGGCCCGCGCCCGCGGGGGTCGCCGCCGTGCTGCTGATGCCGTAGCTGCCCGTGTAGGTGACCTGGCCGTGCGTGGCCGGCACCCCCGGGTGGCCATTGGGCGGCAGGTACTGGTCGAACTCGTTGACGTCGAAGGTCTCGATGTTGGAGATGACGTCGCTGCTCAGCTCTCCGATGTCCACGTCGCGGAAGTCGATGGGGGGCTGTCGGCCCCCCTCTGGCAGGGGGCGCCCCTCGCGCTTCAGGTCAGCCTTGCCCGGCTGCACGTCGGTTTTGGGGGTGGTGGGCGGCGTCGGCGGGCCCTGGGATTGCCCTGCGGGCGATCAAAGAGAAGAAGCCCAGAATAGTCAACAAGGGCCGCGCAAGGGCCCTAATCTTAGGACCCCTCCTGGGATCCTCCCTTCGAGCTAAAGTATCAGAAGGACCCGCAACCGCGCGGGAGGCGCGCTGCACCCGAGATAAGTCGCCAAATGATTAACCCGCCAGTACACATTCGGCGATCTCCTTTTATGGGGAGCAGGGAGGGTCTGAGGCCCGGAGGGTCGGGAGGACCGTATTGCTACTTGTGGAAGAACCCGGTGTGTGCTCGTGGGGTGGTGGGGCGAGAGAAGGAGGAAGAAGTCCTGTAAAGCTGTAAAGGCATTTTACCTCGCAATAAAAATTAATCTGCTAGGATGTAGAGATTGAGGTGTGTGTGTGTGTGTGTGTGTGTGTGTGTGGACTTAACGTGGGCCCTAGGCTGAGAGGAGGATAGGATTAGGCGCTAGGGGTAGTTTTTCCCTCCCGGGGAGCGCAAAGTCCCTAAGCAGAGCCTACTCGGTGGAGACCTGGGGGGTGTGCAGTGGGGCCCCTGGGAGGCCCAGTCTGGCTGGGCCTGTTGGGGGGGGGGAACTCACCGGAGTGCTCCCCGGGGGAGTGCACCTCGCTCATGCCAGAGGAGGAGTGGGGCGAGTCCGCCTGCAGGGCCTTGAAGATGGCGTTGGGGGAGATGTGCGTCTGCTCCGTGGCCTCCTCGGCCTCCGCCTGGCCGTTCTTCACCGACTTCCTCCGCCGCGGCTGGTACTTGTAATCCGGGTGGTCCTTCTTGTGCTGCACGCGCAGCCGCTCCGCCTCCTCCACGAAGGGCCGCTTCTCGCTCTCGTTCAGCAGTCTGGGGGCGGGGGAGGGGGCGCAAGGAGAAACAGAAGGGGTTCTGTGAGACCGGCGGAGCTGTCAGGTCGCCGGGAGGGGGAGGTGACCCCGACCGCTCGGCTTCTGCGCACACAACTCGTTCCTCCCTCCTCCCTGCTTTCCAGCCCCTGCTGCAGCTCCTAACTTTTAAGTTAAGAAGGAAAGGAAGAAAGGAAGAAAGAAAGAAAGAAAGAAAGAAAAGAAAGAAAAAGCAAGAAAAGAAAAGAAGAGAAGAAAAGAAAAGGAGAAGGGGGAAAAAAAGGAAAAATAAATCTCGGTTCTTTTAGTCGGACCTGAGCCGTCACTCCCCGCCCCGCCCTCGCTCCTTCTGTTTTGGAAAACCCTGGAGATGAAAATAGCTCTCCGCTGCTCGGGATCTAAGTGCTTCTGCTACTGTAGTTAAAACGCCCCCCGCCCCCAACATCCTTAAAAGCTTTCCAAAAATCACTTAATCGTCAAGGAGCTCCTCTTGCTCCCCCCCACCCCGCGTCCACCTATTTCCAGCAGTAGCCCCCACCCCATTTCTGCTTGGAGTCTCCTCTGGCCTTGAAGTCTCCCCCCATCCCATCTCCTTGGTTTGTAGGGCTACATGAGAGAGCGCAGTTGGAGCGAAAGAGGGGCGAACTTCACTTCTCACCCAACCCCCAACTTGGGATCGAACTTCACAGCGACGGGAGATAGGGCTGGCAGCCCCCTCCCACCGTGTCTCCCAGTCTTCTCCCATCCTCTGGCTCTCTCTGTCCCCTCCCCCCTCCCTTTCCCCCCCGGAGAGCAATCCAAGAACTTTGTCAAACTCTCAGCCCAATTACACTTCCCCCCCCCCCCCACCCGCCCCCCCCCCGCCCCCCCGCCGCCGCAGCCCGCAGGCTCCGGGACCGGCAACTCCCTCCTGCTGGGAGGCGGGGCGCGAGAGTGTCCCGGCCAGCGCCCCCCCCCCCCCCCCCCCGCCGGGGGGCCCCCCCCCCCCCCCCCTCCCCCCCCAGCTTGCCCAGCGTCTTGCTGAGCTCGGCGTTGTGCAGGTGCGGGTACTGGTCGGCGAGCTTCCTGCGCGCCGCCTGCGCCCACACCATGAAGGCGTTCATGGGCCGCTTGACGTGCGGCTTGTTCTTGCTCGAGCCGTTGACGCGCACCGGCATGGGCACCAGCGTCCAGTCGTAGCCCTTGAGCACCTGGCTGACCGCCTCGCGGATGCACACGGGGAACTTGTCCTCCTCGCTCTCCTTCTTCAGGTCCGGCTCGCCCTTAGGGAACGTGTTCTCCTGGGGCCGCGTGTTCTCGGTGTCCGAGCCGGAGCCCGAAGGGCAGGGCGAGCCCGCCGAGTCCTCGGACATGGTGGGGCTGGGGGCGCCGGACAGGCCCTTCTCCTGCTCGTCGGTCATCTTCATGAAGGGGTCCAGGAGATTCATACGCGGGCCCGGGGCAGGGGGCGGGTGGCCGGGAAAGGCGAGAAGCCGCAGCGGCTCGGGGACTCGAGGCGCGGGCTCCTCTCCCCTCGGCTGCCCGGACGCGGAACGAGCGGCTCCCGGGGAGCCTGGCGCGTCACCCGGCTGCGGCAGCGAGCACTTGGGAAGGCGCGCGGTGGCCAGCCCGCAGCTGCCCGCTCCAAGTGGGGTAAGGCGAATTGGAGAGGAGGAGGAGGACGGGAGGAAAGAGAGCAAAAGAGGGGCGCTTGCACCCCTTCTCTTCTCCTCCTGCAAAGAAAAGTTCCTGGAGTGAAACTGGCAAGTCGCGGCGCCACTGAAGTTTCCAGTGAGTTTCAAGCTCCGCTCTCAGCTCCTCGACTCCCAGCCCCGGGGCTCTTTAATAACTACTGCTCCTCACCTTAGAGACGGCCAGCCAATCACAGCGCGGCATTTCAGGGGTTGGCAGGCAGCTGATTGGTCTGGATTTTTCGGGGAGGAGGATTGTGGCACTGGGCTTGGGTGTCGAGAGGGGAGGGGAGGAGCGGGGAGGGGAGCGCTGCCTCTGGTCTGGCGTGGGGGGGCGGGTGTGCGGCGGGGAAGGCGGGGGACCTGGGACGTCCAAGTGTGTAAGTTTGCCGTACTCTCGTAATGTCAGAAGTTTGGTGCCGTCTCCGCACGAATTTTGCGTGCGTGTGTGTGTTTGTGTGTGTGTGTGCGTGCGCGCGCGCGCGTGTGTCTAGACTAGGATCTCCCCCAAGCATTTCTTCTCACTGCTTTCTGCGCGGTCCCGGAGACTTAGCTGGAGTTTGGAGCGTTCGAAAAGCAGTCGCTCTTTACCGCGTAGCCCAGTTTATGCTCCCGGAGCCTGCCTCCTCCGAAAGTGCTTAGAAATGGTCTTTTGAAGCAAAGGTTTTGGTGACTCAACGTCCGCTGTTCCTCTGTAATAATCCATATAAATAGATTAACATGCTCTGGTTCGCCGGGGCTGGTGCGGCTGGTCGGGATTCTGCTGCGCTCTTGCAAGGGGAATCAATGAAGACCAAAGATAAGTCCCCGCCGAGGCTGGCGGCGGCGACGCGGTAGCCCCGCGCTTGCGGGAGCCGCCCCGCGCCACAGCGACCTTGAACTCTGACAAGTCCTTCTCCAGCCCCCGGAGCCCCCAGCCCGCGGCCCTGCTCAGTGACAGGCAATTGCTTTTGACGTACTGCTTTTCACCTCCTGGCCGAATCCAAACGTCAGGAGGGTTGCCTCTGGAAAGGGCTTGCAAACTGCTCTGGCTTGGAGAGATCGAACTTTGCGATCCAGGGCCGGGAGGCTGAGGCCGGTCACTTGGTTTGTAAAAGGCCAGACACATGAGCACCACCGCAGACAAAACACTCCACTTTGGCGGAGTCGTGCAGCTCGCCTGTTTCGCCCTCCTTTACAAAACACCTGGAGGGGTGACGCTCTAGTCTCCCGACTGCAGTCTTGTCCTTCTCCGACTGGCCGACAGCTAGGAGTTCCAGGGGAGGGATTGGGGGGTGTCTCTGATGTATCTCGAGTGTGATTTGAGCGCAACTTTTGTGTTTGCACCAACTGCCTTTAGTGCCCGGTTAGGTATCAGTTCTGGAAGAGAAGAAAAATCCTAGGCTTCTGCGGGTTACCTGTCTTCAGAATCACAAATAAAAGCACGACTGTGGAAATCTCCTAATTTTAAACTTCCCCCTTTCTGGCTCTCCCAGATGTCCGCTTCGAATTAAATGATTGTTGTGGTGAATCGGCCCGCATCATAGCAAACACTTGTTCGTTTCTAATTTGCACATTGCGGACACTATTGCAAGATTTAAAATAATGTTTTCCTGGAAAAAAAAATTAAATCTCGTTTTCTCTTATTTTCTTCCAAAGAAGTCGACCTTTCTTTTAGGAAACGGAGCTCTTCAGAAGGTAGTTAAGTTGCAACTACAGTTAAATACTATTTACTTTTTAAACGGGTGTAACTCACTCACAGTAGATGTCTATAGTACCTTATAGGTTGTTTACAAGTTTTCGAGACCTGCGCCACGTACTCATGGCTCCGGGAATACGCTGGGAAAGTACAAGAACAACTTCATCCTTTCTTGGGAGAAAAGAGTCCCGCGTAGTATCAACTGATTTTTGTGCCGTGGGGAGGGGACATTTGTGAGTATAACTGTGTGATTCGTAGGCACCTGACCAAGGAGCACACTCAGAAACTAGAACTTCGGGCAGAAATTTTAGCCAAAACGAATGTGTTCAGTTGCATTTTATTGTAATTCTTGTGTTTACGGACTTAAAGGCACTGAAGACCGTGACTTTAAGATACTTTCGAATATTTCTCTAAATATTTTTCAAGATAAATACATACACATAAATATATATTTAATGAAATTACGTTATAAGAGATACGTAATCTATAGAATTTTAAATCATGAATTTACAGCGTTTTGAACATTTTCTGTTCGTTTGATGCAAGCACTTGGTATTCTTGTATCTTCTCGAACAGTGATAAACAATCAGTTGACTTTTTAAATGGCGCAATTTTCAGCTGCATCCAGAGGGGGCGCCAAAAGCCCAGAAACTGTTTCACTCGCAGAAACTGCAGGAAAACTTAGATGATGGTGGGGGATGGTGGTGGTGTGCTCCACTCCATCAGGACTGCTTTGCCGCTGAGATTTATCTCTGCAGAAATTCCTACTCGATATTTCCTCCCGTTTGGATTCACCTCTCGGCAGCCCAGTTAGAGGAACTGGGAGGCGTGTGTCTTACAGGGGACCTGGCAAGAAAAGAGCGCTCAAGGTGCCTGACGTTTCTAGTCTGCACGGGACGGGGAGGCCGGGTCCAGGAAAAGGACCCCTGCCTCCCAGAGAGCAGACATGGCCCTCTGCTCGTGCGAGGACCAGGCCAAGTCTGACTCGTGGACACCCTTGATTAGTCCCTGTATCTCTGCAGGGGCTCTGGTGCCAACTCCCCCCCCCCACTCAGGGGTTCGGTTCGGTTCGGTGTGAGCTTCTCGGGTCACCCCTGATCTCTCTTGCCTGCCCCGGGAAGACGCTCGCAGCCCACCACCCGAGGACCCGTGTCAGAGAGAGCCAGAGGGAAAGGAACCCATTCTCGATGTTCAGGTTCCAGATCGGGAAACTGAGGCTGTTGACTCTGTACCAGCCAGAGCATTCTGCCAAGAGCCCAGCGCGTTGGGCTCCTCATGCTGGTGGGGATACGGAAGGGAATGGGCGCAGGTCAAGAAAAAGGGCAGGCAGCGGAGGCACTTCCCTAGTCTGCGACGTGCATACGGGTCCCCGCTCTAAGCAAGCGCCTCGAGGTCTGCCTTGGGGAGCGGAGACTTGGAGGTGCGAGCAGATCCCAAGGCGGACCTCGCGAAACCGAGGTCCGGGATCGCCGCCTCCCTCCTCACCCCTCCCTGCGTTCAACGACTGGGGCCGGCGCCGGGTTCAATTTCCCTAGTTTGGGTCGCCAAACTCCCTCTGCGTCTACGCGGGCGCGGAGTCCAAAGCCCGGAGATGTTGGCTTACAGCGAGTTTCGTGGGCCATCTCCGGATGGCGGTGTGAACACATCGCACAGGGGGGTTTCCATCTCCGGATGGCGGTGGACGGCGTGGGCAAATGGGGTCCCCTTCGCCTGGGGGAATTGGGGACCATAATTCCCTTTCCAAAATTTCTTAGCAAAAATGGGGAGCGTGTCTAAATCCGTGTTCAGCAGGGGTGTGTGTCCCAGAAAAATTCAGTTGGGTTGAGCAGCAGAGTCTCCTACAGATCTCATCCCGGGGCAATGTCCTCTGTAGAGGTGCTTAGGGGACTCGGTTTCTCTTCTGTCAATTCCCTGGAGCTCGGTTCCCTTGCAAGACCCCAATCCCTGAGGGTGGGATGGGGGTGGGGTGGGGGGGGGACCCTGTGGTTCCCGAGTTCTCCGCTCCCAGGGGCTCCTCGGTAATTAGTACTTTTCACCAGGGGGGAGCGCATTTGCCGGTCGCTCTCCAGGCCGGACACCGGTTCTCTGGGGAGAGAGGCGGCGGGTAAGCCCTCGTCTCAGGACAGAGCATGGGACCGAGAGCAGCAGCACAAGGAAAGGGCCAGGTAGCTTCGCAGGTGCCTAGTAAATATCTGTGGACCGCCAAGTAAATGCGACCTTTGGACATTTTGCCCCAGTGGGCGTGGGACCCGTCGCAGGCCTCCAGGGCTTCCAGCAACAGGTCCATAAACGCACGCGACTGTATAGTCCTCCATGTGTATGTCTCCCCAAACCCGCGCTCTACTTTGGGAGATTACCAGACATGGGTCGCCTAGCACCGTAGAGTCCCAGCGCCCCCTGAAACTGTAGGCCAAAAAGGGCTTTCTTTTTTTCCCTTTTCTGTTTTCTCACAGAAAAAGGAATGAGGCGGAAGAGAGGTGCTGGGTAAGGGAGGCGTGAACCTGCAAAGTGCTCCAGGGTGACCTGGCCGGGTTGTGGGGCCGCGGGCGGCTGGGGCCCAGCGGGGCGCCCGGGGGGTGCGGACCGGAGCCAAGCAGGAGGCGGGAGTTGCTGGCTCAACCTGGACTGACTAGTGGAGGGGACGGGGGAGGAATGGGAGTAGGAAGTCCCAGTTCCAAAGGGACTGTGCTTCCAAAGGGAGAGAGAGAGAGAGTGTGTGTGTGTCTGTGTGTGTGTTTCCCCCTTCCTTTTCTGAAAATACCAGTCTTTTAGGCAGGGTACAGGGGAACCACGGGTCGTTCGGATTCCCTCAAAGCATCCTTAGAACAGCCTGGAAATTTCCTTAGGCCAAATTTTACTTTTTCCCTCTGCAATTTTCCTCTTTTTAAAAAATCTTTCAGGCATTTTCATTTGAAGGTGCTTTTGGCTTTGCTGATATAAAAATATAAATAAAGTGCTCAGCGCAGTCCACGGGGCCAGGGGGCTCCCTTCAGCACCAAGAGCTTCCTCCGTAGTTCTCCGGGGTCACATCTGTGCCTCCTCCTCCCCTCCTGTCCCCTTTGGGCCTGTGCAGCCCCAGGGAGGACTTCAGCGGAAAAGAGCAGAGATTCTCGGGATAGTTTTGTGTGGTTCTCCCAGGGTAGACTGGCTTATGGCGGGGACTTCATCTCAGGCTGAAGGGACTATAACCAGCTACTCCCACTAAGATGTCGTAGCCAGTGGGTTATTCCGTGGGCGCTTTATTAATTGGAGAAAATGTTTCCATCAAACCACGGAAAAGGGAGAAATGCTAGTAGTATACAATTCCAAAGGTAACTGTCAGAATTAGAGACGCATTATCTTGTGACTTTGCAAGCCTTTTCTCTCTCACCTGGGCGCTCGAGCTCCCCCGCACCCGCTCCCCGCGCCCCCCCACCCCGACCCTCGGGGCGCA